GGAATGATTTAAAAAGCAATCTCTGAAAGATGAAGGCCCCTGATTGTTTTCGAAACCTAAATGAGACGTCTCGAAACGTTTTCGCAACTCAGGTCTGTGACTGTCGATTTGCCAATGCGCTTGACGGAAACCATCCACATTTAAGAAAAAAGTAAAAATGTGAGGAGTTACACAAGGGCAATAACTAACCCGTTAACCAAGCTAAATAAAAAATATATATAATATTTATAATTTTATAGTTAATGAATAACAATACTCTTAACCAATACCAATGAAGGAAATACTAAGAGACAACGAAGATATCTGTTTCAATACTTTTATATTACCAATAATATAAACATAATACTACAATGAAATATAAAAATCTATTCGCCAATGAGTCTCTAGGATAGAGGCGATTACAAATTAAAAAAAAAAAATTGTAGTTTTAACACATAATAACTTTACAAAAGGTATATAATCATACGGAAAATTTTATCAGCTTTAATTTTGTAAAGTGTCTTTGTCGATGCGATGGATAGTTTTCCGAAATGCGAAAATCTGCAGTAAACACGAGGTAATTTTTTTAAATTTTCAATATTGGTCTAGTTGAGGACAGATATCTAGAAAACTAAACGAGATAGCGAAAAAAGGTATCTAATCAATCATATTGCAAACTTTAACAGCTTTAATTTTATATAAAGCATCTTTGTCTATGCGATGGATAGTTTTCCTGATATTAGCGAAAAGTAAAAAAAAAGAGACATACTAGCTGCCCCCACATTTGGCTCAACACCTAGGAGTTGCTCACCACTTAGTATGTTTACCTCCTTACTAGTCCAAACAATGTCCTAAAGTCAAAAATTCTTTCGCCGCCATTTTCTTCTGTAATCATTCATTAGCTGTCGTTATCTCTACAATTCTCCAGTGGGTTAAATGTCATTGGTATTTCTTAATGATTAATAGATGATTAATTAATCCAGAGAAATCACTAATCTATCTGTCAAACCAGAGTTTCTATTTTAATAAAGCTTACCAATTCACAGTCAAAAGAAAATTTAATGTAGGATTTGAACAAAGATATCACTGTTAATGTTGCCCAAATGCGAGACCGAGAAGAGTCTTAGTCTTGCAAACTCAGTCTTGGTCTTGTGCAAGAGTCTCGTAACAATCTTGTAGTTACCTATTAGCTTATTAATATAGAGATATTACTGTAAATTTTTAGATACGAGAAATCAAACTAAGCCCGAATGAAAAATTAATGTTAAATGCAAAAGTATATTGGTTATACCAATTATTTACATATAGTAACTAAGATTAACAAGTATTATAGTATTTTGCCTTAATTTTCATTTAAAAATCGATTTTTTTTACAAGTCCTGGTCTTGGTCTTGCAACAGTTAGGCGGTCTTGCAAAGTGCAAGACCAAGACCGATTTAGGGCAACACAGAGAAATGTCTACAAGACTATTTTAACTGATATTGTTTTTCACTGAACAGCTATAAACAAAAAAAAATAAATGAAATTAAATAAACAAATAAAAAGACTCGTTTTAAATTGGAATATAAATGCAGTTTGATAGATTTAACTTAGATAAATATGCAGTTTATTATTTTTTAAATTAAATTTTATAACTGCTGTTTTACTTAGAAATCGATCTAATTGTATATGGCTAGCAATCGTTATTAGAATATGGTATTTCATATAAATGTTGGTATTTGCAAAAATTAAAATAAAATAAATTGAAGAACCTACATTAGAAATAATTATTTCTAAAATGAATGAATGCATGCAAAATAATTTTATTAATCTGGGACTTATGTTTTGAAAAAGATTATAAATACAAAATAAATAAAACATGCCAATGTGGTCATACTCATACATTAAATTAAATATTTACAAAATAATAGGCAATTTAAAAATAATAGTACAAGACAGGAAAGAAATGGATATATACTCACACACGCCCACATAAAACACATATAAAATATACAGAAATTATTGGCTCAAAATACAAATTATGACTTCGAAAAATTTGTTGTAGTTATTTTTTCTTTTCAATAATCACTTGTATGTATTACATAATATACCAACTTTTATCCCAATTTTTAACGAAGAGATTTGAGTGCTAAAAATGTACTACATGAAGTTATGTAAATACTTGATATTATTAAATATAATCAACTCCATGTGATTTTGTTCTGATTCTGTAATAAAATTTTCAAATGTCTGTAATAATTAAAACATGAGTAAAATTAATATGAACATTTAATTTTTCCCTTTAGTTTCTCCAACATTTCTATCTTTATTAAAGGAAGCTGACATTAAAAAAAAATGGTAGATTAAATCAAATAGATTCGTGCAATTACTAGAAAAAAAAAACTTCAAACATTTATCTCCATTTGAGGTTAAATTTTACACCAGGAATGCTGACGGATAATCTGATAAAAATATAGTTTCTCTAGAATCATATCCGGCCGTATATCAAATACTTATCACATAAAAACAAAATGTTTCTTCTTAAAATATCTCTCAGAATATGTGTTGGGGGAGGAGGTATTGTGATCATGAAAAAGTTTGATTTTCAACAGTAATTCATTGTTCAAATTAAAATTGTTCAAAGTAAAATAACAGAAAACAAAATACTTATGAAACTAAAATTACATTTTCGAGCAATATGCCTGGTGTTTCAAAACAACTTGGCTAAAATTGACATATCGGAAGTATCACATCACCATATGTTTTGCAATTTTCTTGAAAACGGTCCCAACTCTTTAAAAGGTGTAAATCTGATTGGCAACCAATATCAGTTAGGTTTAGGGCAGTGGAAAGAAACTATGAAGATAATTTTACCGAGCCCTCATCAAATATTAAATGTACTACTAAAACCTAATTTCATCTTTGATAATTTACTACCCAAAAAATAACGAAACGATATTACTTAACTATCATTATTTTATCCATCCCTTTAAGGTTATGCGGGTTTTCCCCAGACCAGGGGGGGGAGGCGGGGAATGAATGAAATTAAATTTGACCTCTCCGCCAATCTGACATGAACTTATAATTAATTTATCATATTTTTTCAGTTAATAAATTTGGCGAAAACGCATGTGCCGAATAAACGTTTTCCAAACGCGGTAAACCTCTCAGTCATTCCTGCTCTGCATAACTATTACATAGTTTAAATAATGTTAACTGTATATTAATGTACGTTTTTAAGTTAAAAAATGAGGCGTTATAGTTTATAGGTGTTGTTGGGCTGTGATGTGCCGTAGACTCGCTGACTTCGCTCAAAAATCAAACAGACCCGCAGCAGATCATTTTTATTCAAAATACACGCATTAACAAACACTCTTGACATTCTTATGAGGATCATTTCTATAATAAATATCCAAATGGAACGATCTCCATTATCAAAAACCCATCATGATAAAGACGCAGGCTCTAGCCTAAATTAAGATAAATGACGAGGAAGAACAGAAAAATTATTGGTATCTCAAAAGTTATCATCCATTGAGGTATAGTGGTCTACACTCTTCCTAGTCTCTGTGACACAAATCAAGGTTGCCTCAATCTTTGAACGTTCAAGAAGTGTTATCTCAAAGTCCTTCTTTTTGTTTCCTTTTTAAGAAACAGCAATAGAAAAACAAAATGTGAGAAAACAGGACAAAAGTTTCTAGTCTGGAGCTGTATTAAGAAATAAAGCCGTATATGGCGCTGATTGCGGTAGTTGGAAGTCACTCACAAAAACAGACTATTCTCTTTCCATGTCCTCGAGTAAAATTTGAATAGGCTCTTTCCATTATTCATGACCCGGGAACAAAGCCGCGGAGTCAAGGCAGTACGCAGTGTCGCAGGTCTACTCCTGTAGTCAGTATGACAGGTACAATTCCACTACCAATCAAACACAATACGTATATATAACGCGGTAAGAGCAGTTTTAACGTTTTCTGTTAAGAAACTTAAGGAATGTGACGTTAAACTTAATAGAATTTCTTTCTAGTCCACTTTTCTTAATTAAAAACTTACAAGAATGTAGGTATAATGAAGGTAGCTACATTACATTTTATAGCTAGATGGATTATAAAATGAATGGATCACTTAGGCTGGAACTTGAGTCTTGTGTGCATTCCACACAGCGTTTATATGAGAGTGTTTATTACTGTAACATTTTTTTTTTTTTTGTTGGGGTTTATGAGAATATATTTCTAATAAATAACATTAAGCTTCATCACTGATTGCTTTAAATTTGATATAACATTGTGTTCTAGATACTACCCCGCCAATAGGTTTGCAGTTACTTTATCAGAAACGTTTGTTGTGAAAAATGTCAATATTTTGATACTTTTTTATTTATTTTTATCACCTAGAAACTGTAGCTTTTTTTGCGCCTATCTAACGAAAAAAGTTTACAAGGAAAAGGAAAAAAATATATATACCTTCATGGCCTTTTTTTACAATAATTTAGCCATAATTTTTATACTTGTTTTGATATTTCAAATATTAATGTACTTTAAATAATATTTAATATATTATTTAATTGCATGTGTGGTCAATAGCAACTTAATAATATGTTTAGTTTCAATAGAAATCTGAATTAGATTTCATGAATGAATTTTAGAAATTTATTCTATACTGGAAGGATCTCTTACGAACATCCTTACGAGTTTTTTTAATGTTAATGTTAGAACAGCATTTTTTAAAAACAAAACTGTTTTCTGAGAAATAAGTGAACAAAAAAGGTTGCAGACGTTTCAAAATTTACGCCAATGTGCACTCTGTCATTTTATATCTTCATTTGGTTGGACTATCTAATAAATATGATTGAATTCTGTCATAATTTCCACTTCCTTTAAGTTGATTTTTTTTAACATTATTTTTTTTTTTACCCACAGCTGTTAGAAATACTGACAACTTAAATTTTATTTATTTTTTTGTTAATTATTTGTTCTCAATATAGTATATAAAAATTTGTTTCTGAACACGAAAAATTATGAATACGTAAGACTCAGGACGACTTTATGACTTCAATGCTTATACAACGCAGGTTTCAGGGGAAAAAAAGTAATTTATAGCTAATTAGTAATCCGTATTCAGTTTTTTTTATTTTAGAACAAATACTTATATGTGTAGTAAAACTACGAGCCATTTATACTAATTACAATATATTTTAATCAAGTTCTATATATATTTATAAGATAATTAATATATTTAATTAGCTGTAAACATCTCTGAAACCAGTTACAACACCAGGTGGTAGCGTTTCAAGCCCAACACCGGACATATCTAGAGGATTGCAACCAAGTCCGTTTTGGCCAAAAGATATTAGTGAAATTGTTTCTGCCTGTAAATGGACTGAACATTAAAACCTGCTCTCTAAGCCTTCTCAGTTTTTTTCTGCTTAGTCGGAATGCATTTTTTCAAAATGAAACACAAAAATCGGCAAATACCTATGTATTAAAAATCATTAGAGTATTTTCCAAAGAAAGCAAAATTAGAAGTTTAAAATAAAAACAATTTTCGCCGTGGTTTGGTTCACAACTTTAATTATTTAGAAAATTAAATTAAATTTAGTTTTGTTTTCTTTATTATTATAAAATATGTACAGTTACCAGTGTCGTCAATCAATGAACTGTTCTCGTACCTGAAAAAAAATAACAATAAAATTTAATATATAGTTGTAAAATATAATGTTATATGTCATAATGAAAATAGTATCTTAACGCAGCATAATATGCTTAAAAAAATGATAAATGTATGTAAATCAATTTCCTTTCACTGACACAACATTGAACACAACAATAAGTACTAAAAAAAAGTATATGGTTTATGCCAATAATAATAAAACGGCCGTTGCCCATCTCCGAATTTGATAAATTATTTTTCGATAACTATACATTGACAAAAAATCTAAATCTTTTACAATAAAATTATTGTAAGACTAAAATATTGACAAAATTACTTAAATCCAATGGGATATGAAAAAAAGTATACAAACGAAATGAAAATTCTTTTTTTGTGACGATTTATGAAAATTATTTAGACCTGGTTATCCCACGAATATGTTCGCATATCAGAGTAGCTTGAAGTAAAAATAAAAAATTAGACATGCGAATGCATGTTGCTACGTGCCGCGAAAACCAAAATCTCGTCTTCAGTTTGTCAGATTTTGACTCGTTAGAGACAGGCAAGTTCATCCTCCTCATATATAACAATTACAATGCGATTATAAAATGGAACCAAACTTGTGGTTATACGAGTATGGCGCCATTTTCACATACAGTATAAGCAAAGCGCGCCGTACAAGATTTTTTATTGATCCTCGCTCCCTTTCGGATTCAGTTATTATTATAAAGATAATTTTTTTTAAATTCACAATTACACAATATATCTGTAATTAAACAGAAAATTATCTTTATTTCTTGTCTTAGTGTCATTGATATCCGCATAACAACGTAATGGCAAGGATAATTGTCAACATTTGAATTTGGAGGTCACCAAACTGCCCCTATTATCGATAATGTATTTTTTCCTCAGGTGGATCTGACCTCATCGAGGCGACACGGCTGGACGAACTCCTCCACGGCACTTAGCGTCCAATCAAATCCAAATCGTTCTTTAGTCGACCGTAAATTTACAGGTACGTAGAGTAAATTTACAGAAACCCTATATCTATACCACCGATCGGTGTTTATCGGTTCGTTGTTTTTATTTTAGTGACTGCATTTATTCTGAAAGAAAAAAACAAACTACCTGTATGAAATGATGTTTAAATGATCCTTGAAGGCTAAAACTAAAATAATAATGAAAAAATAAAATGGTAATTGCAGAAATAATAAGGCTTTTAAAATAAATGTCTTATATTTTTCTCGACACTGGCATACATTTAGTAGTTTATATGCATTATAATATAAAAAGAGAATATATTGTGATTGTTTTAGTATTTGCTTAGATCGCACATTTAAATATTGAACAAGAAGAAAAGATTGTATTTTCCATTTTGGCAGGACTTCAACCTGGCATGATTAGAACATTCCTCTACTATAGTTTTTCTGTTATTTTAGAAAAATATTTTTTTTGATAAAAGTTTATACAAAAATGTCTTCTTGTTTTTATTTTGTTTGGAAGTTTCGTGTCCGTAATTCCTATTATAATCGCCAACTGATGAAGTTGGTGATAATCACTTCATTGTAATCGTGGTAAATTTTTATTAATTACATTTGTTTGACGTTTCGAGAAATGTTTTTCTCACCATTAAAAAAATATTATTCATTATAGCTAAAATCCGTTTGCACCATTGAAGAAATGATTATGGATAAGTTACTTTCCAAATTCTAGTACATATTAAGAGAGGCTGGATACGGTTGTGACAGTCGCCATATTTGCGAAATTATAAGGAATTGTAGGTAAATTTAAAGGCAAGAAAGGGGTTTTATGCCTGTCTGAACATATTTAACAGTATTGCAAAAGCATCGTGCGCCTTTAACGCTTGTAGTGGTTTTCATAAACAAAATTAACTATTTTTATTATATATCTTTGAATAAATGTTGTTATATATGTACAGATAGAGAAATGAATGTTTTTCCTCGTTATAGATTAAATATTAGTTGTTGGTTGGTTGATTAGTTGTGTAGAACCTGTTGGTCGTCAACGCCGTTAATTAAAATTTTTGCTTTTAGATACCCAGAAAACGCACTAGGAAGACCAACAGTTCATTCTTACACTAATTTGTATATCCTATTAGCAATATGCGATTAAATTGTTCCTAGGATTTATTTATTTTTTCACATGATATTGTACAATAAAAGTGTTTTAAAACAATTTTGGTGTATTTCTGAACCTGTCATTGACGATCCCAAGCACTGTCATAACCGTTCTTGGGGATTGGTTTTGAAATTTTCAGTAATGTGACAAAATTTTAGTATTTATACATAGTAAAATGTACACTTTACTATAAAAAAAAAATCTTTCTTCTGTCTAATTGATATTCTAACGAAATTGAGGACGATTAAATAAACATTGTCACAACCGTACCCATTCTCCTCTATTATGCGCTACAATTTATCTGTTTGGATCAGACATGTATTTCCTCTCAAAGGTGGAATTTTGAAATTTTCAGAATCGCAGTGCTTTCCCATTTTATTTATTTCATACCTCACGTCAGTCGATTTTAACGCGTGCCAAAGTTTTCTCCCAATTTCACATTCTCTTATTAGGAGAAGACTACGAAAATAAAACGAAATTGAGGATCCCATATACATTAGAAGAACCAATAGCATTATTAAAAATATAAATCACCCAACCTTCTGACTATAAACCGGCTTCGATGCTCCAAAATGGGCGTCGACCACTATTTCTGTGACTAATTTTAAATTCTTAGGAAGCTCACTCTCCCAATTTTCCCCGAGATTCCCAGATGACTAATTCTTGTAACCGGTTTAAGCGCATACAACCGGTGCTGAATAAAGGTGTTGAAGAGATCTCTTCTTCCTCATCCCCATAAGTGCAACATGTTAGAAAGCAATGAATCTTCATATTAATCACTCGATTTCATCAGGCGTCATTCGAATTGTAATTACACGGGTCTTAGTTTCAGAAACCACGGTACCTGTCAGAACTACGTGTCGGTAAAAGTCGTGGATAGCATTACACGCCTACTTAACCTCAGGAACGGACTTTATTAGAATAAGAGGGAAAAGTGTGAGAGTGTTGATGAGGAAGGTGGCTGGTCATAATCTTCCTGATGTTTGGAATTATTTATAACTTTTAAATCCTTCAACATGATTTAAACTACGCTTCAAATCATGTTGAGTAAGAAATTTCTCTCGTTACGCTTTAATGCAGTTTTATCACAGAAGAAGGTCCACGAGTTGTGTTGTTATTAGTCTTAATATTAAATATTCAAAACAAGTCTCTACCAATGAGTTTTAAAAATAATTTTCAGGTTTAAGCAGTAGATTTACCTACCAAATATATACAGTTTGTCCCGTAAGTAGAGAGAAATGTTAAGAAGTGTGGTAGTAGACTTCAAGAGCTAATAAATAGTTCATACAAACAATGGGCAAAGATTCAGCAGGAAAGTAGGAAATCCAAGTTTCGTGAATTTTTAAGTAAGTTGTGTTTTTAGTTGAATATGAAGCAATAACTAAAGAAATATTTAAGTCCAGAAATTAACAATTGCTTCACTATAAACTAAATAAAATTGCACTTTTATTTACTTTAATGTAGAGTTTATCGTTGTTATGAGCATTTAAACAGGACTTTAGAGATTCCAAAATAAGCTAAGTTCTGTATTTAAAAATTCATAAATTATTACCTATTTTGAAGAGAAGAATAATTGGAGTGATCAATCAATAGTTGGAATCAAATAAGAAGGTAAAAATAAATGATAATATTTATTTTGACATTTGCCGACGTTTGGACCTGAACTTTAGTTCAAACTTCGTCAGATAACCGTTCGGGATGACGCCACAATACATCTCTTCTCTCCCCCTCCCTTGCTACCATTTTCTCATTTCTACATCAACCTTTTGGAAGCAGGTTTGTTTTTTCTTTCTTCTCTTTCTTATTTCAGCCTTCTCAGTTTCTTTCCTCCTTCCTTTTCTCTGTTTTAACTCTTTATTATATTATACTTTGTTTGTACATTTTGATAGACTTTACAATATCTCAATTTTCTATCTAACTATTCTATTTGGAATATCTTAATTTTACTATTTATTTTCATTTTTTATATAACTTCAAATTCCTTTTTTCTGTTTTACATTTTATTTTAAGATTCCCATTTTAATACTCATGTCATCTTTTTTTATTATGTTTACTTCATCATTCCACCCTTTGTAACGGTTATTATTATTTATCTTTTAGTTCTTACTATTGTCGTTATTCTAACAACTTCATCTTATTTTAATTTTTTTTACCTACACTACTTATGTTTCTCATACCTTGTTATCTTATTCTTTTCTTAGCCCTGATGAAGGCCTGAACTTCAGGTCGAAACGTCGGCAAGTGTCAAAATAAATTTTATCATTTATTTTTGCTTTCTTATTTGACTGATCTCCCCAACTAATCTTCTCTTCATTATTCACGACAGTCAACCATTCACCCACAATTATTAACTATTTTATTTTTACCCTCCTCCACCTATATTACCGACACCTCACATTGATTAAAAATCCTTTATTTAAAAAACTTTAAGGTCATATTAATGAAGTTGAGGTTTATCAGGGTAAAACTTGAGATAAACTTCAAGTTGCGAAAAAAAAAAGATCGTGTGATTATATATCCAATCACCTCAAAGTCCCGGCCTTTAAAGTAAAAATGACAGTACTATATTACTGCAAAACTTTAATTTCTTTTTTCTCAATGATCTGGGATGTATAATAATAAATACAAATGCATGAACACACTTTTCATTTCTATGACACAAGACAACTAGTGACACAAGACACGTAACAATTTTTAAATCCTCTTACCTCCTCCTAACTCTCTTACAATGAATAGGACCAATGCAGTACAAGTTACCCCCCATCTCATAAAGAAATATGATATGAAAATCCCAACCACCGATCTTTGGGGACAAGAAAAAAAAATAAACATTTAAAAAAAAATATTTTATTGAAATTTACAACTGTAAACAAATATACAACAAGTAAATTTGATATAGGAATATATTACATGAAGGTACTTGTAAAGAAAGTACCCGTTAGTAACACTTCAAAGATAAATTAATTTAGGAAGTCTCTTGCCTATCTTCTTTTCAGACGCCTCGGAGGGTTGTCAGGAATTGTGTTGGATGAAAGGTTACAAACTAGTGGATTGGGGTGACCAAAGAGTTTAGCATGAAAAGAGGTATATCTAGTTCGGGCCAAGTCTTCCTGAAGAGTAATGTTCAGGTCTTTATAGATAATTGTATTCGTTACATAATAAGGAGCATTTAGGATTTTACGAAGGATTTTGGATTGTAAGGATTGGATACGGAAAGAATTTGATGTTTTTGTAGAAACCCAAAGTTCAATACCATATGTCCAAATGGGCCTGATGGTAGTGTAAATGAGTTTTGTGTAGAATATTGGAAGGTTAGAGCGTTTGTCTAGTAAGTGTTGTAGTAGTCAGAATCTGTTGGCAGTTTCTTGTCTTTTAAGTCTATTATGAGGATTCCAGGTAAGGCGTTTGTCAAGGAGTCCTAGGTAACGGATTTGTTCGACAGGGATCAGTGGAATATTAAAAAAAAAAGTTAAAAATAATGATTAGCTCATATTTTTTTTTCGAGTAGGCAGGTATATTTTTATATTTATACTTCAGCTGTTTCAAATACTTTCGTAGGCGATTCTCTCCTATAAAAAAAAAAAAACCCTTTTCCGATTTCTTGGTATCAAAAAATAGTTACGTAAGATCCTTATTTCTGTAGTGATGGTCGGGAGATATCCAAGAGTGAAACCGATAGTTGCCTGAAGGAAGTAGTTTAGGAGGAAACCACCGCATCCTCCGTCCGCCTCACCGCAACTTCGAATCAAAAGTTCAGCTTCTACGAAACCTACCTTCGGGGATTTATTCTAGCGGCTATTGCGCAAAATCCTTATAGCTCTGTATGTAG